TGCCGTGATCCGAGTGCGCTTGAGTCGCGGCGCTGATGTTCATGTAAATGTAAAAGTTTTATGTTATTAGAATGTTTGTCCGTCAATCACGCTGAAACTACTGAACGGATTTTGATGAAATTTGGTAGGAAGGTTATGGGTTAACTTAGGTGATAGGACTTTTTATCCCGATTAAATGCTTTATTGGATTAAAACAGGAATACGCCGGCAAAGCTGCGGGTAAAAGCTGGCTGAAGATGTATAATTATAAGTGTAGAATATTTTTATTTAATATTCGCCCAAGGTTTATTCAACATAGTTTTTATTTAATCTAGTAGGCAATAAACGTAATAAATATAATAAACTTATTGGTATTAATAATACAATAATAGTCAATCACTAAAACTCAACCCAATCACCAAAATAAAACACTATATCAAATAACACACACAACCTAAATAGAATCTATAGACACGACGTGTACCAACACAAATATTCCGAAACCAAAAACCACATCACGGTCCTCCAACATATCGTTATCAAATAACATCAGCCCAAAGTGCCAGCGAGGGACTGAAGCCCTTTTAAATGATTTCAAAGGGACGTGTCAATCCACTTAGGGGCCTTTAAAACTATCCCGTGTGAGCCTGGTAAGGGCTGGGACGCACTACAGTAAAATGGCAGTGGTTTATAATTGTTAAATGAAATAGAAAACGGTTTCAACAGATCGAGCTCTTTGCCCGCGATTGATTTGAAAACCGTTCCATTTTTTAAAACTGTCTTGCTAAGCTACTAAATACTACAGCAATCGTCCCAGTCGCCACTTCGCGTATCGCGGAATGCTACCCATGAATATGAGACTCTAACTTGGCTTGAAACTAGTCGAGAAAACCGAACTTAAGAGGTACCCCTCTTGAGTTCGGTGGGAGAGAGAGAGAGAATAACCATGAAGTTTCTTACTACTTCTTCTCCATAGAAACACTTTTAAACGAGAAAATAACTTCACTAGAGGACCCACCAACACAGACTGACACTTTTATTTTTTAATTTTGTTTGACTTTTATAAACGCTAATTAACTCGTCGAGAACCGGTTTTATAGACACAATTAAAGAACAATCAATTAAAGAACAAAGGTCGCGGTCACCGGTGACCGCTTGGTGTTTGACAGTTTAAAATGAATGATTTGACCTTTATAAGGTTGAAAAACACTTCTGTAAACTCTTAGTTCTAAAATCTTGGTACTAACTTGTAATTTCATAGCTTATAACTCTGGTACGCCTATCTCGAGCGGTTTCGCAGCAAGAGTGTATAACCGCTCTCACGAGTGTAGTGTATCCTAAGCCTTATAAAGGCGTGTCCACACTGTTATCTAAGGCTTGTCCCACAACCCCTGTCAACGTCTCACTCAGGGATCCACTAATTAGGGTTGCAAGCTAGAAAAAGATGGAAGGTTTGTGAGCAAAAAATTGTGGTTAGATTGTGTCTTGTGTTGACGTGGTTAGATGTCAGGGTCTGTGTTGTAAAATTGTGCGTTCGTGATATGGATTTGGTTACTTAATAAAAGTTATAAAATGGGGAGTCTAAACAGTCATTTTTAGTGGCATTAATTCTATAATTCAATAGCAACTGTTTTATAACAATTGTGTTTCCTGTTAAATATCTCGTAAAATCGAGCGCCGTGTTTCGCGTGCGCCTCGAGGAGCCGTCAAACCACCACAGACGGGGCCCAATAGTACTGATGCTGACACGGAGCCGCAGAGGACTTAATGGGTTGCCAGGGCTCAGGTTTGAAGTGCAGGAGTAGGAACGGGGTGGTTTTTAGTCAGTAAGTGTCTGACACTCCCCCTCACCTCACCCAGGCGGGAGAAGTCATGGAATGATCCCGCCCCCCCCTCCTCAAAAAATACCATACTAGACACCGATCATAACAAAAACAACTCAATCCTTTATTTTTTTTGAGGGGGGAAAATTATCCAATGACTCTCCCGCCCGGGTGAGGTGAGCCTGTCAACCCTAATGATAGCAGTACATACTTTAATGTCTGCCATATTATAGCACTTTAATATGTCATACTAAAGTTTTCACTGCACAGCCAACAATAGCGGAGCGAGCTTTGTGCCAACTTTTCCACTTGCCACTTTTCGCCGCTAGGCAGCGCGAGCGTCGCCGACTGCCAATTAAATTGAACTGAGTTAAGACTTTCAGACTTTTGAAGTCGATCGTGGCTTTTAGAGTCGTTTGAAATATTGATTGGGATAATACTGTTACGTTTGAGGAGTAACTTCAACGGCAATGCTTGAAAGATTGATGAATGTAGATAAAGTGAATGAGATATACTAGAATCGTGCTAATTGGTGTTTCGGTTTGTTTCTCTGTGTGGATGTCGGTCTTTCTAAATACAATCATGGGTTAATTGTAAGAAAATTATCACAATCTGTACTTTCAGTACTTTCTGTACTTTCAACTGGCAAAGATTTTGAAATCTAAGTCTTACCTAAAATAAAAATTAAACTATAATTTTACCAACAATTTTAATTAATTATTATGTTCTAAGCCGAAAATATAATACCTAATTTAGTATATATCATGAAAGTTTTTTATATAGTTATGTTTAAACATCATCTTTTGACTTTACTCTCAGTCTAGACATAGCGATAAATAACATCCAAAATTAGCTATTTACACCTACATACATCCGAACTTCTTGTGAAAACATAACTATTCATAGAAATATATAATAGACTTCATAATTTACTTTCTAAATATGTAATACATGGTTTAATATACTTAACATACTTATTGTTATACCATAATAACTTAATCCTAACTTAAAGCTAACTTAGCACTAAGTTCAAGTATATTGATAGAATATTCAGAGTTCATCACACGTAATTTAAGTTGAGAGTGAGGGCCAAAATTCAATTCCTGGCTAATGGAAGTGTGCAGTGTTGTGATGACTTAGATCTCACTTGAGACTAACTTAGATTGTCTAAGTAACTATCTTGTGTGTCTGTGAAGTTAGGAGAGATGTTGGTATTTAGTTATTGTTTTTAATCATATTGACTTAGAATGTTGAAAAAAACATTGCTAAACAAATGCATGCTATAAATTGTACAAATGCTATCTTGAGAATGGAACACTGAACAAGATGACATTATGTGTCAATAGTAATGTAGTGATAGTTCAATTTATTTAAATAAAAAACTTAAAACTATTACTTAAATAAAATTAAAACTAAATATTACTAAATTAAATATATACAACTTAAGATTAAAGTTAATTATAAGAAAAACAAAAACAACTATTTACATAAAGCATCGAAAAATTCGTCCGCATCGACGTCAGTGGAGAAAGTACCCAGAAGGCTGGCAGCATTGCCACGTTGTATGGCAAATTGGCAATGCTTAACCTGTGACCGATAATATTATTATTTAATATTGACTTAGTAGTTTATTTTTAATATTGTGTCCGGTACTTAATCTAACTTAAATAATAAGGTAAGCTATAGAGTGACTACGCCGATGGTAGAGAAGAATACTCTTGCCATATCTGAACTCTTCTCTCGGATATCATGTGAGCAAAGACTCTTATTCGAGCCTGACTTCTGAGGACGCTCCGGAGGAGCAAAACATATGTCAATGGAGGTTCGAGTGGTTTATTGCATGTTGTGTGTGTGTTTTGTGTAGCATCTCTGCTGCATAAGCTGATGCACATTCATTCCTTCAGCGGAATAAAAATTAAATATTTTCCTAATTGTTATTGAAGTATGGATTTCCGCAAAGTAACGCCGGATTCTATTCTTATATTGTCTGTAAAAAGTAACATCCTACATCTCCAACTGGGACCGATAACTGCTCCGAACCGGCTTTTTAAGGGTGATAAACGTATATTTGAAATTAAATTTAAGTGTGTGAGAGCCATGGTTCGGCACGAATGGGCCGGCTTGACCGGAGTGATACCACGGCCTTACAGAAAACCGACGTGAAGCAACGCTTGAGTTGTGTTTCGTCGTGTGAGTGAGGTTACCGGAGGCCCGATTACCCTCCCCTTCCCTAATCTCCCCAATTCCTGAATCCCCAACGATCCTCAAACTCCTAATCCCCAAAAGGCCGGTAACGCACTTGTAACGCTTCTGGTGTTCCAGGTGTCCATGGGCGACGCCGATTGCTAACTATAAGGTGATCCGTCTGCTCGTTTAACGGCTTATGCCATAAAAAAATCCAAAAAATTAAAGCGACAGTCTTAAGTAACATAGTCCACTATGACATTTCCTCAAAAAATACGTGACAAGAATACCTTCAAACCAGCCTTTAAAAAATCTTCTAAAGCTATCTCTTATATAGGATTTAATGCATAATAGAGGTATCATTAAGTTCATTGTTGAAAGTTACTCAACATTTACTCCGAAGCCGAAAACCGAAGGCCGAATGTAAGATTCAGTTTCCGATATTCTAATAAATTGATGAAGCACGTTCAGTAAAGCCCTATTCTCGATAAATCTGTCATGGCGACGTGGCCAGGCTAATTAGCTTCATCAATATTACTATTATCTTTGTAAAAAGTAGCTTGAGGTAATTGTTAAGTATTTTAGCTTTTGAAAAGCTTGAGGTAATTGTTAAGTATTTTAGATTGATTGAGTGACGTTTCGGCGTTCGTGCCAGTCGGACTTGTTGACACATATTTGCTCACTTATAATAGTAAATACAGTTAATATCTACGAGATATAATTTGAAAAAGTGCATAGTGAAAGGACACATCCATATATATTGAGTGAGTGCGGAGTCGGTGGTTTGTTTTACTGTTTTACGTGTAAAATAAACAAAATACAAAATCTTCTTCAATAGAGATTTAATTTGTTTACCCTCATAATCAAGTTGAACAGCTGATCGAAGTGACGGAACACGTCGCAACTGGTGACATCTAGTATTGCAGGAACGCATTATTGGCCGCACTTGAACGCTAGCGCCATCTGTTTAAGACGACTGCAACTACTTCGCTCACATCAATATAATCATCGATAATGCCGATGACAAAGTGCGGAGGATGCGGCAAATTTATTTCGCCGGCAGATGCCGCTAGGTGCACGAAATGTAATTTACATTACCATCGCGTATGTGTCGGTCTGGCCACTAGAGGCGCTGTCCCAACGTTCTGGCAATGCCCAGAATGTAGGAAAAACCTCCGCAGGGACAATAAATCGGAGACTCCTGTTAGAAACAGCCAGATGGACATACAGACAGGGATGCCTCCTTTGATCTCTTCGGAGTCATCGGGGCTGGGGTCTGCGCCTTCTCGAGAGTCCGCGGAGGAAGATCTGGACGAGAGCTTGACCACGGAACAGGTGCACCAGGATCAGCAGAATAATGTCGTCGGAATAGATGCAGCAGTTGTTGCATCCCAGTTGGATGTCGCTTCTCAGTTGCGCATCATCATGGAGGAGTTGCGTAACCTGCGACTGGAAGTCATCGAACTGCGTAAAGAGGTCAAGTCCTCAAATGACACGTGCAATGGACGGATGGACACCATTGAGGCTAGGCTGCAGGTCCTGGAGGAGCGGCATGCTGACGGGCCGGCTGATGTGGCTGTGGTCGAGGGAGTGGTGGAACAGCTGAAGCGGGAGCTCAACGACAGGGATCAGGAGCTAATGGCGAATGATCTAGTCATAGCCAATTTACCCGAAACACCAGCTGAAAACCCAGTACATATGGTCAAGGCCATCGCCACCAAGCTGGGTGTCTCGTTGGATATTCGTGACATCGTGTATGCGGAGCGTGTTGGGGGACGGCATCTCAAGCCAACGAGCCCAACTAAACCGGCCGAGGTTCGCCCTCGTGCTGTTATGGTTCGTCTGGCCCGGCGAGACCTGCGTGATGACATCCTGGACAGCGCGCGAGTGCGGCGAGGCGCCACAACTGAGGACTTGGGTATCGCCGGTTCGGCTCGCCGTTTCTATATAAACGAGAGACTGACGAAGACGAACCAGGAGTTGTTTCGAAAGACTCGTGCCGCCGCCGGTGTCCACGGCTGGCGCTTCGTGTGGACGAGGCGGGGACGCATCCTGGTCCGCAACAAGCCTGGGGACAGGACATGCAGAATTGCGACTGAAAGGGATATCCAAGATATTATTGGTCAATGTGCGGATTAATATTAATACGAAGTGCAGACTTTTTGTATATTGTTTATTTGGGCAGTGTCTATTCAGATTGGTGCGTCATGTTTGCTATTACTATAATGAAGTGCAACTTATAGGAAAGATCAGTGATTGTGGATCAGCTGTTTACTTAAATATATTACAATATTCACAACAACATTTATATCTATATACTTATACTACTATACTTAAAACTTCTATTTACAAACTTAAAACTAATCACTACATACTTAAACATATTATTTACAAAGTTAACCTTAATCTATACATACATATATCAATTATTTACATGTCTCATGAACTATATACACAAATACGATACAAACACAACAACACTATTAAAAAAAAAAAAACTAAATGCCTAAATCCAAATGCTTAAAGTTCGGTTTGTTGAACGCGGGATCTCTGGGAACCAATCATGATGAATTTCGTATCGCCATGTCTCATCACTCAGTAGATATCATGGCGATCAATGAGACATGGCTGAGACTGAATGAAGAGGCGCGTGCGCCTAGTGTCCCGGGTTACCGACTGAAGCATAAACCGCGGCCGACGTCTGTGCGGGGAGGACGTGGTGGAGGAGTGGGGTTTTACATAAAAACGGGTATAAGGGCAAGAGTGATGCAACACTCGGAACAATTTGGGGTTGAGCAGATGTGGCTAAGTGTAGGCGTCAACGGGAAAAAAATATTGGTAGGTACAGCGTATAGACCGCCATGGTTTAATCTGGGTGGATTCTTGGATGGCATAACTGACAGCATCACTGCATTGGCTCCCTACGACAATGTTATATTGTTGGGGGACTTCAATGTCAATTTATTAAATAAAGACCACAAGACGGCCACCTTGACTGATTTCATAAATTACACCCAGATGAATCAAGTGGTACAGACGCCAACGCATTTCGTGGGAGAAAGTGGTACCCTAATAGATGTTGTGTGCACAGATATAAAAGTGCGCAATGTTGTTGTGAGTCATATCAGTGAGCTCGGAAATCACTCTTTTATTACTTGTGAGGCAATGATCAAGAAGGTGAAGACTAAACCAAGAATTGTAGCTTATAGACCGCTTAAGGATATATTAGTTGACAACTTTAATGCAGACTTGGAATCTATAGATTGGATGGGGATGAGTGGTTCGAGTGATGTAAATGGTATGGTTTCACTATTCATATGCTACCAATCAGCTCTATGACCTCCATGCTCCCATAAAAACTAAAATGTTTAGAGGCTACCCTACTCCATGGATCACTGACAATATCAAACTGTTGTTCAAGTTGAGAAATGAGGCACGAGTGAAATTCCACACTTTAAAAAAAAACCAAAGTAGTGAAGAAACTGTTGAGTCTGCCAGGAGATACTATGTGGACCTCAAAAACCAAGCATCATTTGCACTGGCCCGAGAGAAAGAAGTATATTTCTCCAAGGATATCAACAGGAATCTTAAGAACCCCAAAGTTTTATGGAGGAACCTAAAAACTCGAGTCCTGCCTGATCATGGGAACTGCGGGCTCCGGGTCACTTTGATGACCCGAACAGCATTAATGGAACCTTTCTTGATGTTCCGGGATCGTGTAGTGTCTCGATGTCTCGGCTGACATTCTTTGAGTTCACAGATTCAGTGCTAATGAATCTCAGTTCGTGCTCAGGAGCGTCAGCCAGACGGATGTTCTGAGAGCATTGCAGGATCTTGGAACAAATGCAACAGGCACTGATGGACTTGGTTTGGATATGCTGAAATTGACACTACCACACACGCTTCAGATTATCACGGCCATAGTCAATACATCAATAAAAACCAACACATTCCCTGAGGCATGGAAGTGTGCTATTGTGCGGCCAATACCAAAAAACAGCAATCCAAACTCCTTCAAGGACCTTCGCCCCATCAGTATACTGCCGTGTCTGTCAAAAGTTTTGGAGAGGGTGGTATATAATCAGACAATCAAATATCTGGAGGATAACAACATATTGCCCGAGATGCAATCGGGTTTTAGAAAATGTCGTGGGACTGCAACGGCGCTGGCTGATGTTATAGGCAACATACTGGAGGCTCGTGACAGGGGTGAGGGGACGATATTGGTGCTCCTTGATTTTTCCCGGGCCTTTGACTCGATAAACACCACTTTACTGCTTTCCAAGATGACTTACTATGGATTCGCGATGGAAACAATAAAGTGGTTTGGAAGCTACCTAAACAATAGATCCCAACTTGTTGAAATCCGTAAAGAGGACGGAACGGTCGTGTCGTCTCTTCCACTCCCTGTCGCGCGCGGCGTGCCTCAGGCTCAATTTTAGGACCGCTTCTGTACATTCTGTACAGTGCCGATATTGTAGACTCAATCAAACATTGCAAGTACCATATGTATGCGGATGATATTCAGCTATACATGTCTTGTAGACCTACAGACGTCTCGATGGCTGTACAGAATATTAATGCTGATTTGCAAAATTGTTACTTGGTCTGAGGACAACTGCCTGGTACTGAATCCTGTAAAATCTAAATATATGGTCTTGGGTAGCAAGAGGACAATCAGTGTTATGCTGTCTGCTGGGCCAGTAGTTACAATTAACAATGAAAATATAGAAATGGTAAATGCAGCGACCAATTTGGGTCTCACTATGGATCCAGAGCTACACTTTGAGAAGCACATATTAAATAGTACAAGGAACTGTTTTTATAGACTAAAAACTCTATACTGCTTCAGGAAATACTTGAGTGTAGCTCTGCGCAAACAACTTGTGGACAGTCTGGTCCTATCAAGACTGAACTACTGCGATACAGCTTATGGTCCATGCTTACTAGCAAAAACAAAAAGATTGGTGCAGCGTGTTCAAAATGCTTGCATAAGATACTGTGTGGACATACCACGAAGAAGCCATGTCACCCCTTTTGCGAATCAAAACAATATTTTAAAAATGGAAGCTCGGAGACGTTTGCACATGGCAGGCCTATTGTTTGGAGTTATTACTACTCAAAAGCCACGGTACCTGTATGAAAAATTACAGTGGAGACAGAACAGTTCAATAAACCACATACGCTCAACTACAAATCCACTATCCATCCCTCAGCACAGAACGGCGGCCTTCAGGGGGAGCTTCAAATATGCTGCGACTCACTGTTGGAACAACCTGCCACCACCAATGCGAGACCTGAAAACGATTTTTTTATATATGACTGCCTCGTTGGCCGAGTGGTCGTAAGTTCGACTGCCAGGCAAGGGGCCTCGGGTTCGATTCCCGGGTCGGGCAAAATATTACTGGGTTTTTCATATTCTCAGTAGTAGCACGGAGTCTGGAATTGTGCCCGGTATATGGCAATAGGCTCACCCCCTATTACATGGGACTCATAACATAAATAGTGAAAAGTGGGTGTTACATTGTACAGTGGTATAATGTGCACCTCTGCCTACCCCTTCGGGGATAAAAGGCGTGATGTTATGTTATGTTATGTTTTTTATATATTTCATGGGCCGACGTTTGGTCACTATCTCGCCTGGTGGTAAGCGATGATGTGGCCCACGATGGAGCACGTCTGCCCATAAGCAACCTATTTACTCGAACCTTGAAGACTCCCGGGTAACTCTGGCAGAACATTCCACTCCTTAGTTTTTGATATGGATGACTTTCAAACCACCACCCACGTATAAGGGCCGATTTTTTCTACGCCAGATAAGTACCATGTGTGTCGGAATGTTGCTCAAAGTTAGCCTAGCTATGTTCTAGCTAGCCATGTTCATAAATAGACAGGCGTTCGATTTTTGAAAATTTTTGAGCATTGAGAACGCGTTTTAACATGCTATTTTGTAGCATGTGTATTATAACATACAAATAACATATATATGTACTTGTAGCATGTGTATTATAACATATATATGTACTAAAAAAAATATATATGTATATACAGTACATTTAATTTACTTACCTTATAACACATACATACATACAAACATACTTCACGCCTGTCTCCCATGGGGGTAGGCAGAGACTAGAGAACGCCAATTACTACGATTCCTACATATCTCTTTCGCTTCATCAATAGTCATTAAGCTTTTGACGTGACAACGTCTTATAAATTGGTTTGCCGGGTGACACTTCAAGAAACTGCGTTACGGTTCGCTCACGTTATGCGCTCACAATGAGAGCGAGTGAGAGGCACGCGTCCCTTCCACTCGGGCATGGTTAGCCCGCCTAAGAGCGAGAGAGACAGACATAAAAAGTGAAAGGCACGCGTAATTTTACCACTCAAATTCGTTGTCACGTAAAACTTTCGCCCGTATACCGACTTTATTTGAATATATCGCCAATCTGGTCACTATATGTCAGTCTAGGGTGCCCTCTACCGACGACGCGACGGCCCCATTCATATCCGCTTTATTATCTGCGTTATATTAACACAAATATTTTAAAAACTTTTTGGTATAGATACTTCATTTTTGTTTGTATAACCATAACTATTTATATCCATAGTTACTAGTCGAAGGTCACAACCCCTTCTTTTACTCGCAACAAATTGGTTCGACGTCGGGCGCCATGATTCTTGACCTTATTAAATCGAGCAGAACTTAATTATTTACGTTGTAACTGACGTACTGTTTACACAAACAATGTTCGATGAATTTGCATAGCAATCAACGCTTATTTCAAGATTACACATTGGAGATTGCTTAATTAATACAAATATGGATCGAAGGTAGACAACACTCTGATTGTGTTTGAACTAATATGTTGAAATCACAATGATGATAAATTAAACTAAGATTTTATTAGTTACAACAGGATTATGAACAGAGAAGTTAACGGTATATCAACAGAAATTTGCTGAAATTATATAATCTGCGTCCGAGGTTCCGATAAAGTTACCATCAGCTCAGCATAAGAAGCACGGAGTACTCAAAATAGACCAGCACCGACGCCCCTACGAACACCGATGACCTGTTACGACAAACTAATGATTAACACACACACACACACAATACAAGAAGCATTTAAAAATCTGGAAAATAAATAAAGTTAGCTTAATCAACTACCACTAGTCAACTAAATCGGATTCCCAAGACAACATAAGTCGAATGTTTCCGCGGTAATATCATTTAGGAGTTGCAATCAATCCGTCAGTCGGACAGCGGCCGACCCAATTAGATTGATCAATCGTAATTATGTTGCCATACAAGAGAGACTTGTGTTTAGTTCAGCTTCAGGATCTTTGCAGATAGGGGACTTTTTGTCGTCTATGAATTTAACTTCATCATTATCTTAGCAGGTTATTGAAAGAATTAAAAACTATGATATAATTACTACGGACTACAGACTACAAGCTGCAGGCTACGGGTTACGACCTATGCACTACAGATAACGAACTACGTAAGGGCTACTAGCTACGGATTACGCACTACAAGTATCGGACTACGCACGAAGAGCAACGAGTTACGTACTACGCGCTACAGGTTCAGGGTTACGGGCTACGGACTACGAACAACCGACTACGAACTACCGACTACGGACTACCGACTACAAACGACGGACCACGACAACAGCGTATGTAATACTATGTAAAAACAAAAAGATAGTAGAATAAAGGCCATTGCAAACGGTAGAGAACTGAAAAAATAAATTACGAGCTACTTCTACAACCATTTAGTTGCATTAAAATATGAAAATTTCGTCGGAATTATTCAAACTCACTGCCTGTTTGGTGAATAGAACCACTACTAAATATAAGATTTTAAGTTAAATCTCCCGTACCATTTTATTCTTTTACCATAACAAATCAAACTAAAGCCAAACTTCCTCTTGATGAAGCATTGTACCCCTGTCTTCATTATGATGTACAGGCTATAGGGTATAGCTAGGCTGTGTAGCTTCATCCTCAGAGCTCCTCCTTAAACGGATTCCGAGTAATTCTCTAGAATGTCACGAGAACTGAATGCTAAGTGCTGTCTGTTGAACAGTTTATTATAAGCCTTCACAAACCGGAACTGTGAAGCGGTTAGGTAAAATATTTCCTTTGGAGATTATTGTTGTGTTTGTTTAAAGGTATGTTGAGTTTTTTTGTTGATTAAGAGGTTGTGATCGGGATTACTGAGCTAGAAATTCTAGGTTATTTTCTCAGGTTAAGGTCAATATTTTATAGGCCTGTCAGATTTTCTTTCTTTATTTTTCCTGGTACTATATAGGTAACAGTTATCCAATGCAAACACAGTCTTTTAATAATGTCTTGTACAGGACCACGAAAGTCATAAATAATAACAATTGCTTTATGAACTACGTTTAAAAAACCGACTTCAACCTCCTCTTTTTGGAAGTAGGTTAATTAATATACAGCAAATATCGATATACATGAGCAAATAGTTTCACATTTATTTTTTATTTGTTTGTTGACATTCAAAAGTTCCTCTCTGGTCTAATTGAAATAATGATTTTGACTTTTGACTTTTTACTGAAACCTTTTCCTAAGTGTAACAAACACTTTTCTGAAAACTGCATCAAAACCATAGTAGCCAATTGCGAGATAATTGCATAAATACATACATATATGGGTGAATATCCCAGGCGCTAATTTTACGTGTCCACGTTGAGAATCATGGTGTAAAACCATGGCATGCTTCTTATATTTTTTTATAGTGAACTACTTAACTTAATCTAATTAGGGCCACATTTTTTTTTAAGTAGGCTTACCTATGGAAGCTGTGGAAAAATAAATAACTTTAAAATTCAAGTTTGGTGGCTTGTCCTAGCTCCATTTTTTGATATAAATGTATTTACCAAAGAAACAATTTAAAGTGAAGTAAAAAACAAATCATTACATTAGTATATGCATAAGACACACTATCTAAAAACAACTAAACCATATTATAAAATTAATTTTAAAAGCACAGGATACTCGATTTAAGTTTGTTCTTGCAAAAATCATAATTTTGGTAGCACTTTTTCAAGTTACATTTAGCATGAAGATTCGTGTGTGTGCGATCAATCGCGTTTTATATTCTGTATTTGTCAATCTTGCGCTGGTAGTGGCAAGTAACAGGTGTGTGCATAGTGCTGTGATTTCTCGCCAAAAACGTAAGTATCATCTTGGGTCGAACAGGGGACAAGAATTTTTCAATTTTGGTGGATCGATTTGCTATTGATTCTTAAGTGTTTTAATAGTAAGCCACGTATTGTAGGTAGTCATTTGGGTAACTTACTTATTAGTGATATTTATTCTATTGTATCTTAATAACTGTATTTTTTAAGATTTTTTTTATGCCTGGTTTCAATTTTGGTGGCTCAATTTTGGTGGCTTTGGTGGCAATTTTCGCCATCAAAATTGAAAATAAGCCACCAAATTTTAAGTATGTACTGTTTATATATTATTTTTGCATTTAAATACAGTTTTTCACTACAGATTGATTATGTGAAGGCCTTTGACAGGGTATGGCACGACAGTCTAATCGGCAGGCTTCCTGCATATGGACTTCCTACTGGTCTGTGCAGATGGATAGCAGACTTTCTGAGGGATCGGTCAATACGAGTAGTCATCGATGGCTGCTCGTCTGACCAACTCGGTATTAATGCCGGCGTCCCTCAGGGGTCAGTACTTTCAGCCACGCTCTTTTTGCTGCACATAAACGACCTGCTTAAGCCCGGTCTTTGGGTATGCAGATGACAGCACAGTTGTTGAAAGGTATGTGTCCGGTGCGCGGACTAGCGGAACACAGATCCAGTCTTTAAGAGAATCCATGGTCGAACGTTTGAATCGACCTTGAAGGCGTGTCCGACTGGGGTGACGCCAACTTGGTTAGGTTCAATGCTAGCAAACCCAGGCGTGTCTATTCTCCGCCAAACGGAGTCAATTTCCGCTGACTCCTACTTTCCGGAATGTATCCGTACCGATAACCGATCGTCTTGAGCTTCTTGGTGTAACTCTGACGCCCACACTCAACTTTGGCTCCTATATAGAGTCAAAAGCGCAACTGGCTGGTAGGAGTTGGGTGTCCTATGGAGGGTGAGACGGTACTTCACGCCGAAACAATTATTGAGCCTGTACCAAGCACAGGTTCGGTCCTGTATGGAGTACTGCTCTCATCTTTGGGACGGCTCGGCAAAATATCAGCTGGACGCGTTAGAGCACATTGAGAGGCGTGCCAGGAGGCTCATCGACGATGATGCGCTTGTGAAGGCTCGGCTTCAAAGCCTCGAACACAGGCGTAAGGTTGCAAGCCTTTCGGTTTTCTACCGGATACATTTCGGGGAGTGTGCGGGGGAATTGCACAACTTGATTCCCCCTAGTCCTTTCCATCATCGTACCACAAGACAATCCGCGAAGCGTCACCGATTCATGGTAGATGTTCCGCCCACACGCACGAAGCGCTTCGCTTCAAGCTTCCTTGTGCGTACTGCTAAAGAGTGGAATTCTTTGCCAGAGTCTGTATTTCCTGAAGGGTATATATAACCTGGGAGTCTTCAAGGCCCGAGTGAATAGGTTGCTTATGGAACGACGTGCTCCATCGTAGACCGCATCATCGCTTACCATCAGGTGAGATAGTGGTCAAACTATAATCTAAGTATACGTTACTATTTTATTTGTTTCTCTTCTGTTTAAATTGCACATGCCATGTTATTTTTCTGCACTACTCTAAGGTCGACCGGCTGTTATGTCGATACCTAAGTTTTATGTAGATACTTAGGAATAGATTTGACCAATTATTATTCGTATAAGAGTAATGAATTAGTTATACTTACCTATTTTTCTTACTTTTTAGAATGCCAAAACAGACTAGAAAAGAGAGGCTGCTTATAAAATAATGGCAGAAAGAAAAAGAAAAGAAAGAATAAATTACGGAAAAGAGAGAGGGATAGATATCATGAGAAGAAAAAAAGGTAAACTGGCTTCTCAGAAACTATAATCCCAACGCAAGCATCGCGCTTTGCAAATAAAAAACAAAATATATCAACGAGAATATTAATAAGCAGCAGCATACCTTGGTTTCAAGAAATTTACGTCCACGAACAAGTCGTGATTGTAGTAGTCCAGATGCTCGCACGAAAAGTAATAATAAAATGAATTTGCAACATCAGTACTCCGACAGCTTACAGCCGACCACAAGCCATATTACTCCAAGTACCTAAGTCACAAAATCTTCGCACAAGTAGCCATGCTGAACTTACAGCGCTGTCATCCCCAACATCTCCATGTGTCAGCAGTATTGATTCCATATTATGCCCTGATAGTCCAACTTCAGATACATCAATAACGTTTTTTATTTTTTTAAGGGGGTAAAATCATCGAATGACTGCTCCCGCCTGGGTGAGGCGAAAGGGAGTGTCAGACTCTTACTGACTCCACCCCATTCCTTCTCCTGCACGTCGAGCCGGAGCCCCGGTTACCCGTTAGGTTCTCCGCGACTCCGAATCGGCATCGGCCCTAATGAGCCCCATCTGTGATGGTCTGATGGCTCTTTGAGGCGCGCGCGGAACGCGACGCGCCGTACGCTCGGGTCTGTTTCTGGTCGGACGGGGAGCCACCCATGCTCGCCGTCCGCAGGCCCGCGCTTACGGTGGCCGGAGATCGTCCCGCGATCCCCGACGCCCGGTGTGTCCTTCGCGATGGCTGGGTTGCGAGGAGGCAGCGCTTCGCTGCCTCACGCGTCCCGCCTCCTCCTTAGCTAGCATAACTGCTTCGCAAAAGGAGGAGACGGTATCCCAGTCCCCCTCGCTCAAAATAAAAATATTGTTTTATGTCTACATTCATAAATTATCATTACGAGTTCATCAGATAGTTAAATAATAATAAATATTATCATAACAAGACTGAGTTTTATTAACTGATGGAGTTTTTGGTCATTCCCGAGTATTTCAGACATTGAGCTTTATTAGTGAGATTTAAGTTTGTGACAAAAACTGATTTTTAATGTATTGTTTTAAGCACTCTCAATTTTGGTGGACAAATATCAATTTTGGTGGCTGCGCTAGTCTTTCAACTCAAATATCTCAAAAAGTTACCGGGATATTCTCAGACCTCATGAAGATTCCTAAAGCTTGAGCCTTCTATTTTTGTACCAGGTCAATAGTTTTCACGAAAAGTAAAGAAAAAATTTCGCCACCAAAATTGACAAAAATATGCACTTGTTGATATTCACCCATATACATACAAGACGACTGAGAATCTTCTTTTTTGAATTCGGTAAAAAATAATGTGAAGTTCCATAAAAATTTCATTATAGGTACTACATTTCTGTCCATCTTCATGAACAAGAACCACCGTTAGGTTATACTACGAAATCGTATGTAAATAAATTCCAATATACATACTAACTATATAAGTTATGATACCGTAACTTAGATAGAACTTAACGCACTTACATAGTTGGAGCGAGTTTACTTGAGCTATGCTAAGCCAGGCTATAGCTCCGGTGTCAGACTCCTTGCGAGCTATTTCGAGCTATTTCATGGAGTAATGCTGGAACTACAACTATTGTGAGGTGCTTGTAACTTAAGCCACGGTATAGTTGGTGATTTCAAGTAAGTTTCAGGTAGGTAATGTAGGTAAACGAATCGTAGCAATTTGCATTTCA